GTATCCTTGTTCCCTCCTTTTCCATACTACAGGAGATGAAGTTGCTGAATGTCTTGCCAAAACCAAGCATTAAGGAACATGCTCTGTTAAGTCCAATCTCTGTTCCAGTTGCCAGCAATCCTTAAAACCAATTTGGCTTTAGTTTCCACCTTCTAATAATGCAGGCAAATACTTACTCTCCACATTGCTAGAAAATCCATGGTATGGTCCATTTAAAAAGAGAAGTTCTCTAGATGGCATCTGCTGTGTGACAGTTGTCCAGGCCTATTCGTCCTTCTCTTCTTTCACCATTTTTGTTTGCTCCACCCTTAAACTTGAATTGGTGTGCAAAGTCGTAATCACATCCTGTATTTGATGTCCACTATCTCCGGGGTGCCTATCTGGAGACTGTTTTTGGCCTCACTTGTCCAGTCCTATGTGATACTTAGAATTCTTATTTGAAGCGGATTTGTGTATTATCAGTGGTACGGCTCACAAGATGGAATCCAGCTTTGGTTCATGAGTTCCCTGATGGTTGTCCCGCAGCCTTTGGATAGCCTTCATCTGCTGGCGAGGGGTCACAATTTTAGTTCTTCATGAAAACATATTTCTGAATACATATGCATTTCTTAAGCCTGCTAGACTGTTCCATGGGATAACCGGAATTCCCCAAAGTTATATGCTTCACTGTAATTTATATATAAGTTGTCATGCTGGCTCATTTTCTAGGACCTTATTACACAGGGACTACTCTACAACATCCCCAGCATGCTACTGTTTAAGGGTTTTTTAAAAAATAAAATAAAACAAACATCCCTGAGGCACGAAAGTACTGCCAAATCTCCATAGGAATAGCTGTGCAGGGTAGTTTTACACCCCCCATAGTCCCCTCCCCCACATAAGAAGGCATAAAGCAAGGTTTAATAAGAGCATATTGGTCTTGTTTTACATCTAGGATTCTTAGCTAAAACTTCAATGAACAGAATCAAAATCCATTGAGGGAAAGCTGTGCTCTGATTTTTCAAGTCAATTGGCCAAACCATTGTTCTGCTGAGGAAAGTCAATTGGCTTGGCATTGTTATGCAAATATTCTCATTTTGTATAGCCAGAACAAAGGTTTTCAGATTTTTTTTTCTAGGATTTTTCTTGCCTGGGCCACTTTTTGCTGGGGTCCAAAATGACCCCAGGATGTGACTAGTGGTGCTTTTGTTAATGTGAGTGAACCCACACGTTGGTGTTAGAAATTGGCAAGTATTGGCTATAATTGTTCAAGTAGCAGAAGTAAATGAATCCCCTGGAAGAACCTGTAGGAGCAGGGCAGCTTCTGGTCCATGCTGGTCCTGGGAGATCATGATGAAAAGATTTCCAGCTGCACAATGGGGATGGGGTGGAAATAGGCTGCAATTATATAGTAAAATGTGATCAAAGAGGTCAAGGCAATGCAGAGCAAAATGTATCCTCCAGAGATGCAGATGTTTCTGTAGAGATCTAGAAGCCTCAGCAAGTCCAGCTGTGAGAGTTGGAGTTTTAATGGAGATCTCGAATGTGGTGGGCAAAATGGAAACAGGTGGAATGGAGAGTGCTGGTGCCATCTGGCTGCTTTTGAATACAAACAGGAAAGGGTATAAAAAAGCAACAGAGAGGTATAGTGTCAGACTAAAAATCTTAAAAGGGCTCTCCTCCAGGCAATTGTTGGGTGCCATTATCAGCTTCCAAAAATGCATCAGCACTGGAGATGTGCTACCATTCACTTGACTAAAAAGACTGTGATTGTTAGAAGGAGAACAAAATGAGAGAGGCACCCAAAGTAGCAACGGTGTTGTAGTAACGGTGGACTTCATAGTCCGCTTAGAGTGGATAAATTCATGAAGGTTGACAAAGGAGTTGAATTTTTCAGTACTCTAAATGTGCTATGGGGAGCAGGTCATAGAACCAATCGTGGAGTAAGCAACCCTAGACTCAATCCTAGTGCGGAATGTGACTGTTGTTAAACCAAGTGGAAACAGTGACCACAGTGCTATGAAATTTAATTTATATGCAAGTAGAATATAGCCAAGGAAATTCAGTTTAGGCAGGATTGACTTCAAAAGAGGACGTGCCTTTCAAATAAGGAATTAGTAAAAAGTAAGTGGAATGGAAAGGCAAGAAGGACAAATCATCTAACTTGCTTGGGAGTTAGTCAAAACCACAATAATGGAAGTTCATTATTGTTCACTAGAATGTATACCGCAGGTATGAAAAGGAAGGGCAATGCCCAAGAGGTCACCAGCTTGGTCATGGAAGCCATTAGATAAGGTAAGGCTTCCTTCAGAAAATGGAGTTCTTGACAAAATAAGAAAAACAAAATGCAAGATAAACTTGGATAAATGAAAACAAGCAGGAAATTAAGGATTTTGAGGTGCACAAAGTTAATAAAATTAAGATTACCATAGCATTGTTTTCATTTCAGAAGATTTAGGGCAAATAGCCATGCCTGAGGAACTTGGGTCATGGTGAGAGCTGACATTCTAGACCTCAACTGAAAACAAAGGAATCACTAGTTTCAGGCTAGTTTTTATATAACTCATATGAGTAACTGCAGATTAGCAAAATTATGTAACGTGTTTCTAAAACAAACATCTATACCAGAAAATTGGGGAATTGCCCATATAATGTCAATTTTTTAGATTGGATACAGGGAGGATCCAGAAAATTACAGGTCAGTTAGCCCAATGTCATTTCTAGGTAATCTGATGGAAAATATTATTAAATGTAAAATTACCAGTTTATATTGTCAAAATTATATAACAACATGGCTTCTGCAAAAGTATGTCCTGTCTCAGTAAAATTTTAGAGTTCTTTGAGGGTGTCCATAAACATATCAATGGGCAAAATCTTGTAGAAAAAAGGGTTTTGAGAAAGGTTCCTCACCAAAGACTTCTGAGCAAACTTAGCAATCATGGGAAAGAGGAGAGCTCTTATGTGTTGGTAACAGGTTAGATAAGCAAGAGCAAAAATAAGTTTTCATTTCTCTCAATGGATGGATGTTAAAAAGTAGAGTCCTCCAGGGATCTTTCTCGAAAGAAGTGGCTTTTAACTTCTTAATAAATAATCTAGTGTTAGGTGTTAGTAGAGAGATGGCTGTAATTGCTGAGAACTACTCCTAATTTCAAGTATATACAGTTGCCCAAGAAAAGGATCTTGGGTTTGTGGTGGGCAGCTTGATGAAAATGTCAGTCTAATGTGTAGCTGCTGTGAAAAAGGTTAATTTCATGTTGGAAGCATTAGAAAAACAGTCTAAAACTGCCAGTAAACTGTTGTCTTATGCACGCATGGTGGAACTATTCCTGGAATAATATGTACAGTTCTGGTAACTGCACCTCAAAAAGTTTATTGTAAATGATGCAGAACAGCACATAGAAAATAATTAAGGGTCTGGAGCAACACCCCATGAGGGAAAGTTATATTGCTTGGGTGTTTTTACTTAAAAGAAGCAAGTAATGTGGGACAGAGGTATTTAAAATTAAGCATGCTGTTGTAGCACCAGGGTGGAGTTGATCCCAATTGATTTAAATCACTCGTCAGTAAGACTACATTTAAATCATGGTTCTCTACATAATTTGCATGCATGCATGCCTAACCCATGGGTAGAGGAACTTCATTAAAATATTCCCAAACGGGGTCTCTTTTACAGCCTGCTGACTTTATAGGTTTTCTCCTCCAGGGAAAGAATAAAAGGAAAACCTCAGGCTATACACAAAAAAATTGAAAGGCTTGTGGAGTATTCTGCTCAAAAGGTTTCACTGGTTTTACTGCTTGTCCCTCCCTCCTCAAAGGTAGCTTCTTGTGCAGATCCATTCCACACCCAACATTCTTCTGTTCATTGAATGCTTTGAAACAGCACTTAAGGGGTAAGGGGCTGATTCTGTGTACACAGCTTTGTAAAGAAACAGTAGGATTAGGGTCTTTTTCTCAACTCTGTATGTTTATTTATAACATTGTTGCTGTGAAGCAAAGGCATGTGATCTCTGCAGACACAAATTCTCTGTTTTGAGGACTGTAAAACCAAGCATCTGTGACAATAACTTGTAAATAGGAACAAATGGCCAATAATCTTACAGAAACCTCTGGAAGAGCATGACTTTGTGAATGGGCTAAAAGAATTCATTCACCAAAATTTTTAAGCATTGCTTCATGCTATGTAATTAAAAACTAATACTTATTTCATGATGTATAAGTATCTCAAATAGAAAAAAATCTTTAGAAAGATTTTTCCTCAAATCATTTTATTTAAAAAAACTAAATTTAAATATCAATTTTTTAAAAAAACACTAATTTTTATTCACTATTTTATCCAATATTAGTGCCATAAAGATAAGCTCACAGGCCAGGCCAGGCCAGGCTTTCAGGCCATGGGCCATGTTGGGTAAACTTGAATTCAGGAAGGACCTCCTATCCCAGGTTAGCCAGCATAAGAATGAGTGGTCCAGAATGAATGCTGGAATTTTTGCAGAGAAAGGTCAGAATCTCTCAAAGCGATCAGACAAAACAGCCCTGTAAGGAGGAGGACCTGTTGAACTGAGATACTTGGAAATTGCCCCATCAATAGCAGCTAGCAAACACAGAGGAAGACCCCTAGAAAATAGGCATGGTCACCTTGCAGACAAGGATAGATAAGGTCATCAAGAGCAATCAAGCAATCATAGGTAGAAATGGAATTCAGTTCCACAATATGTAGTGGTGGTGAGCCATTGGAATGGCTTTAAAAGGGGACTGCACAAATTCATGAAGACTAAGGCTATAGTATAAATGGCTGCTATTCATGATTGCTGTGTCCTGCTTCCAGTTCAGCTGCTGCTGGGGAACATGAGATGGAAAGATGCTGCTGCATGTATGTGCTACTTGTGGGTTTTCCACAGGCGTATGGTTGGCTGCAGTGCAAATACGATGCTGTACTAGGGTGTTCTTCTGGGCGTGATCTGGTGTGTCTCCTCTTAAGTTCTTGGAAAATGTAGGAAACTACCGGTGAAGGTGAAATTCCTTGTGATTCGAAGGTTGCTGTCTGATGTATACTCATCAATATTCCCAGTTACAAGGTTTGTCTAGGACATTTCATTACTGTGATACAGGTAAACTTACAAAACAGAAAGTGGGAGAATTGAATCACTGCTTTTTCTTCTGTAAGGTGTCTTGCTCACTGCTAGCAAAAATGGCAGAGAGCAGCATAATCATGGTTGCTGTTGAGACCTCTAAGCAAGTGAGCTATGAACACCAGAAGTGATTGGCACAGCTCCTGCTGCCTTGTGACACCTCGGGTGATGAGAACCTTGATGCCGTTTGCTGTGAAACGCCTCTCCTTTTCTCTGCCAAAGTCTGCCGATGTGATACCCACGGCAGTAGTCAGGGTTTCTTCAGGTGAGATGCCTGCCCCTCTGGCAGAGACAGAGGTAGCTGAGCAGAAGATGAGTGGAGGTATGTGTACATGGGTAGCGTTTGCACAAGCCGATCAAACGTAGATCTGTGGCTGCAAGCATTCAGAAGTCCACAGTCTGCCTTGGGGAGCACATATATTCTGAGACTCTTTGGTGAAGAAGCAACTCGAATTGCATCGGTGTTTTCAGTAACCCTGTTTAATTGTGTTAGAGTGATTTCTCAGATCACTTTTTTGTGACTCAGTGCACAAGAAGAGGAAGTGGGGCTACCAATTTGTTGGTAAGTATTTTGTTTTTCCCTTTATATTTGGAAATAGGAGAAAGAATTCCCACTTGAGATCAGGAAACGTTAAGCTTCTCAGCACCTGAAATATTGAATGCAAAGTATGATAGATTAAACATACTTGTTAAAAGGCACACAGCAGAGTCTTCCATGTGTGCATTTTTAATGATTTGTGCCCTGTTGCACAATTCCATCTGTTCGTGTTAACTCAAACTGTCAGGCAGAAAAACTTCAACAATTAGAAGCGCTTTGGTTTGATTGCTATATGCCAGGCTTCGTCATGTGTTTGCTCCAACTAGCTGGGGCGTATGAGATTTGGGAAAATATCTGGAAGGCATCTGGTTTGGAAAGGGCTGCTTTAGATGTATCACAAGAGTAAATGAATATAGGACAGGTGAGTTAGGAATAGCTCGCTTAGTCCTCATAAGTGGACTTTTTTGTGGACTTACTTTATAAGACTGGATTATAGGTATTGTGAGTGCACGTCTACCAGAGGGATACAGTTCTCTATTGCTTACACACACAATTCTGTTTTCTGCTACATTGGTTTATGTAAAGTTGCTTCTGTATTGTATTTTTTTCAAAGGATGGCCTGGCTGGTATAAAGTATGTTTTGGGTGTAAAAGGATGAGCTATTTTTGTCATGCTGTGATGTGCTGACCAGTTTTTCTTCCCTGATTCCCTTCCCTTCCCTTCCCTTCCCTTCCCTTCCCTTCCCTTCCCCTGTAGTAGTTTTTCAGTACTATAGAAATATGACATTTAGGACAAAATGCACTGGGAGAATTCCATTTCCATTCAATTTTATCACTTGTCGTGTGGCATCAAATGTCCGTTTAACTTTACTGGGGCAGGAAGGCAAAGGCAAGGACTTGTCAGCATGATATGTCTGTGCAGTCTCGGTCTTAAGACAGGCTTGTGTTGCATTAACAAAGCATGGCTTTTGCAACCACATTGGGCGTGCAGGATGTCAGCCTCGGATGATAAGGGTGTTGGGCTTCTGCTATCTAATGACAAGTTTTGTCTCCAGAAGTGCTGACTGTAGTCCAAATCCAGTGATTAGCAGAAGTTTGGTATCTGTAGAGAGTAGACCCAGCTCTCGCTTACCACAGCTGGTTCAAAGAGATTGTCAGATTGCGAGGAGCTAATTGTGGAGAGGGGACTTTGAAGTTTCAAGGCTTCTCAAAGTTTAGTGAAGTTTCTCAGGTAGAACGTGAAATGTGGCCTGCTTTGGAAGGGGCTGAAGGGTTTTCAGGAGGGGAGGGGGCAGATGCAAGGCCCTGTCCTTGACCCAGTAAGGAGGCAATGAGAGAAACCAGCAGCCCAGGTAGTTGCTTCTGTCTTCTTGCATTCAAGCTACAAGCGTGGAGTCAGAAACTTTGCTACAAGCAAGGGACTGAGGAGGAGTTTCCAGTTCGGATTCTACTCTTTACATGGGCAGATGCTTGTCCCTCAGCTTTGGTGGAAGGCTGTTTAGAGTTTAGCAAAGGGCCCAGTTCAAAACAATATCATAGTACTCATTAGAAGACTGTGATCTAATAGAAACCTCCTGTGTAATCTCAGAGATGCAGTGTTCTGCTCCCCCATTTTTAAAACTTCCAGCCCTGTTAGTGAACATGCCTCTGTATTTAGTATGTTACACTTAGCATCTGTTATTATGGTAAATGGGATATGGGAAAGATGATTTGCCAGGATTTCTGCATTTACACCTTTAGATTATAACTGAGGCTGTAGCAAATGTTCCAAATACTTAACTTGCAAGTAGAATTATATGACAGTACCGGCAAAACTAAAATAAACAGATTTTTTAAAACCCCCACTGCCTCATCAATATTTTTTGACACAGGACTGTGTCCTGTGAGAGCCCTCTTAATTCCTAAGCCCACTGTGAGGCCTCGCTGATAGAAAATAGTCCTTCAGACAGAGGAAGAATGACAAAGAGCCAGGCTGGTCAGTGAGTGTTTCTGCATCTTCCACCACTGTGGAAGGCTGGTAAAAGCCTTATTTCCCCCCTTTCTTTTAGGAAGGCCTTTGCCACATTATCCTGGCTCTTTGGATACGTGTTTTGATTATGTGTCCGTATGGTATGGTGGTGTCATTATTTTAATTGTAACTTTCCATTACAATTGTAACTTGTCTCATGCGATCCTCATGAGACAACAATAAGAGGGCCTGAGAGCTTTTTGGGTACATGGTGGGCTGTAAGTGAATGGAGGGACAATGGATAGGCAGGGAATGAGGAAGACAGAAGATCTTCCTCGGTTCTGTCCGTGCCTCTGCTTGTGATTGCTTGTATGGAGAGCCAGTGTGGTGCCGTGGTTCAGAGCATGGGACTGGGACTCAGAGGATCTGGGTTCAAGTCCCCGCTCGGCCATGGAGCCAACTGGGTGACTTTGGGCCAGTCACAGGCTCTCAGCCCAACCTACCTCACAGGGTGGTTGTTGTGGGGAGAAGATGGAGGAGGAGAGATAATGTAAGCTGCCTTGAGCCCTTTGTAGGAAAAAGGCAGGATATAAATCGAAAAAAATAAAATAATAATAATAATAATAATAATAATAATAATAATAAGGCGCTGTTGGCTCGAGTGACTGATGGCTCTCTGGTGTCCAGTAGTGTGTGCCCCCTGGTTCTCCAGCTGCCGAAGTGCACATTACAGCAAGGTACTCTTGGTCATTCTGGGCCGGCGAGTCTATCCCAGTTGTTTGCGTGCGGCTGTGCTCCCTCTCTGAATCCATCTCGTGAAAAGCATGTGGTCGCCTGCTGTAGCTTTACCGTCTGTGCCTTTAATTGTGTGATATAAATTCTCGTTATTGAATATATGTGATTGGCTGACTTAAGTATTCTTATCCAGCTCCCCGTCAAAAAGGGGCTCCTGAATTAGCTTACAATCAGTCCGTAAATCAGTGAAGTCAGACAGCCTCGCCCTGCATGTTTACATTCTAAAAAGACATGATGCACAAGGAGAAAGGGGATGGAGCAGGAATAAAGCAAAAGTAAGGCAGAAAACCGGGCCAGTGCTTGTGTGTTATAATGGGGTAGGTGGTCAGAGAAGCAAGCCCCTAGCAGAGTGGCAGAGCATGTGCTTTGCATGCGGAGGGCTCCAGGTTCAACCCCCGCCCCCGAGCACAACCGCAATTGCGCCTGTCTACCCTGCCGCCCCCCCCCCCCCCAAGTGTGCCTGCAATCATGCCGGTCTTATTTATTTATTTATTTATTTATTTATTTTCTGATTTATATCCTGCCTTTTTCCTGCAAAGGGCTCAAGGCAGCTTACATCTCCTCCTCCATCTTATCCGCACAACAACAACCCTGTGAGGTAGGTTGGGCTGAGAGTCTGTGACTGGCCCAAAGTCACCCAGTTGGCTCCATGGCTGAGCGGGGACTAGAACCCAGATCGTCTGAGTCCCAGTCCCATGCTCTTAACCACTTCACCGCACTGGCTCTCTTCCCTGTCATTAAAAATATATATATTTACAGAATGGATTAACCTTATTTACATTGAACCTTATGGGGAAATTTGACTTGGCTCACAACCAATTTGGGTCGCGACCAGAGTCATGGAACAGATTAAGTACGTGAGCCAAGATACCACTGTACTCTTGAGACTGTAGATCACCTTTTTGCAAATTGACTAGGACAGTACAGTGTGAAATAGTCACAGCTTTTTTAAAATTTTGCATGCCTCACTTCTTGATAAAAGTACTTTAAAATACATGCAGTTCTCTTGATCAACTATATTTTCTGTAAGTGCTGTACAGTTTGAATCAATTAGAAATTGGGATGTAACATTTGGCTATTTGTGCTGATTGATATTAGATCTAAAATGGAGATCTGAGGATAGACTGTTGGTCTTGAGTTTAATGCCTGGACTACTGAAAGTAGTAATTTCAGTAGTAAAGTAGTAGTAAAGTAATTTCCTTCATTGCTAAAGGAAATGGATAGACTTTGCCCCATGTGGAGAGCTAGGTTTTGGATGGCACACTTTGCCAAATAGGTCAACGTTTTATATGGCAATTACAAAATAAAAGCTGTGGAAAAGTGGGGGGACAAAATCCATGATGGGCCAAAATGGCTCTCATTTTTGGTGGGAAAGCAGACTTCTGAGATGCTGGGTGGTGGACCGAGCAGGGAAGGGAGGGATGGCAACCCACTCCGAGATGCCCAAGTGTCTGAAGTAGTGAGGATTGTTCGGGCAGCAACTGGCCCACTGAAGGGCGGGTTGGCATGGAGTGCAACTCCCTGAGTGCAGTGTATACCCAGCAAGTGTTGCGGTGTGTTCTCTGCTTATTTTCCTCTGCAAAATCCTGTATTTCATCTGAGAACAAGTTGTTGAATTATTGGTAACATGGACTGTCTTCCTGGCCATTGCCCTCATCCTTCACCAATTAATATTTAAACTTTTTTTTCTTTTTTAAATAGTAAATTTGGATGATGATACTCATAGATTTACTTCCTCACTAAATATCCTGCTAAACTTGGATACTTTATCATACTGCTCTATTTCTAGGTCCCCCCTGGTGCTTTGGCAAAGAATGCGACATTATGAAACCTTTAGGGAAACAAAGAAGGAATGTGCAGTTACAGGAAGAATTGTGTATGCGTAGCAAGTAAGGGACATGATTATGAAGGGCAAAAATGAGATGAAATTTTATGCTGATTTTGGCCCAGATGAGAACTCTAATAGTTTCCTAGGTTTAACTTTGTAGACACAATTCAGTTTAAGGGACATAATGACTACATTTCTTAAGCCTTGCCTAGGTTCAACCCACAGGGAAGAGTGCGTGTTTGCACTGGCGGTTTGGCTGATCTCCACACAATTATTATTTTGTTATGGATGTTTCCAATTAGCAAAGTAAAGCCACTTTCATTTTGGGCTGGTTCCTCTTTCTATACAAATTGGTATTTTGGTGGGCTCTGCTTAGCCCATTTCCTCCTTAATCCCCCAAGGCTGTTGCTCATTCTTTTGCAAAACAAAAGTGACACACATTTAATGATACTTC